ACTCTCTGACTTCTTCCCTTTGACCAATTAGTGACCCATGTCACTACTTGGTCATCCAGACCACATTTCCTCAGTTTACCTATGAGGATGCTGGGAGACGGTGTCAAATGCCTTGCTGATATCCAGAAAGACCACATCCACTGCATGGCCACCAGCCATCCACCTAGTTCTGACTCAGATTATATTTGTATTGGCCATTTCATCACATAATGCAGATATTGCTAGAATGTGATTCACCTACAGGCGATGTCAAAGTAAATCAGGTGCCATCATTCCCAAAAACATAACAAAGCTCATGTGATACTAAGACTAGAATACACACAAGTCATATTTACCTCTTTCCAAACACGTGGATGCGTGCTTGTGGATACATCCTGTACACGATGGGAGCAATGACATCTATAATGCAAACCGTGTGCATTGCATCTTGTGGAAAAGCTCTGCTGAGCTCTGCTTAACCTGGTGTGACTACAATTCACTCTGAGGTAACTAACCCTTTAGGAAACAAACAAACAGCTAGGAGCATAATTCCACCTTTTCCCTGAACACTGCAGTTCCTCTAAAATTCCAGTGCTTTGGCATGCAAGGCTTGGATAACAGTCTGGTGTGTGCCATTGGATGTTTTGAGTCTGGTCTCTTACTATTATGTATGGATACAAACAGTAGGTTTATTCTCCTGAGAAAACAAAACAAAAAAACCAAAACAAACAAAAATAATAATAAAAAAAAAACAAAAAAAAAACCCAAAAAACCCACACCACATTCTTGAAAGTCTTACACTGGCCTGCACATATCCTGGAAATTTAACCTTATCAGGATGTACAACAATGCCTTTCATCTCTTTTTTTCCGAAACTCTGCATTTTACAAATTTCCTCATCCCAGCTGAACTTCCAAAATGTGGGGAACTGATTTAGAGACTCGTATAGGTGAGAGAATACTCTAAATACTTGCAAGTCAAATATACAAATGCGTTTTCCTTTCTACTGAATATATGCTACGTATAACATAGTGAAGCGGGTGAGAGGGAAGGGGTTTCTTGCAATCCTTTGTGCAGGTCAACACAGCTCACTCGTGGTTTCACTACACATTTCACTTGACCATCGAGGTGTTTTGTACACAATAAGATGTAGCATCACCTGAGCAGTGCTGTATCGCACCCGCACGACTTATGGACACACAACTGTAGCTCTCTGCTCACGCTAATCATCCTTTCTGAGTGTCAGGGAATATAGGGAAGCCAGAGATGTAATCTGGATGAGTCTTGCTAGGGCAATTTAAGCCATTTCTGCCTTCATCTACGCCAGTTCCCCTGCATCCAGCTGCTACTGCAGTGTAAATATTACTGAGTAGAGGGCGTACTCGTGCCACTGAGACACGTACTCTGTCTGTAACTAATTCAGGATACTTTCACTCACATGCAAAGTCAGGAACTCACCCAGCACAAAGACACCAGAGTTAAGCGCCGTTATGGCAATTTGCTATGGCAATTTGCATCTACCTGGATTTACCCATCGCTACTTGGGTAGGAGGCAGAGATGAGTCAGCTCAGCAGGGAGATTTTCAAGGACTGAAGTGTTGTTCACGTACTTGAACATTTTCTGCTGGAGTCACACACCTAAGCAAAACCAGGACCACCCCTCCGTGAAGACCTACTGAGACCCGGACTACATTTGCCCAGTTGCCACAGTTGCACATCAGAGAGCTGCGGCAATCAAGGGCAGACAAAACGTGGCAGAGACAGACCAAGGTGAAGGGCTAGACTTTCAAACAGAGTTAGATGTCTAAAGCCCTTTGCAATTCTGGACAGAAATACCTCACTCAAGACCCTCACAGCAGGGCTCTGTCAGAGAAGCAAAAGAAATCACTAGCCAGGGCTCCATCACTGAGCCACGCTGACTTCTGCCGTGTGATTTGTGCTACTTCAATGTGATGGTTGCAATGATGATTTTATTTTCTTCGGCCTATCAAGTCAGGACTTGTACCTCATAATCTTAAATGTCATCACAACATATCTGAATCTGTCAAAAAGAACTCCTTGTATCATACAGACTTTTTTTTATACCCCTTTTTATGTCTAGAGAAACCCACTTCGGATGTTGCCATTGTGCAGAAACATAAGAAATACACTTTTTTCAGAGGAGTCTTGCTGTTTACCCTTATAATACAGTCACATTCTCTATGCAAATCAAAACCAAAAAATGCATTTAAAAAACCCCAAACAACCAAACTATCACAGTGTCGTTCTAATTCAGTTTACGAAATGTTCACGAAACATTAGCTATGAGCTAACAGGCACAGTAGAATTCAATTAAATTTTACATCTGAAAAAACAAAAAATCCTCTTTCTCTATTACCAAGGGCAGCTTTATTCTGAATTCCTCTTTTATTTCACATATTTTAGTGTAAATTATTTATCATCATCACTGGGATCACTTCTGAATATTGACAACAGTTTGCCAGGTATCATAAAGCTTCAGCCTTACTATTACCAGCAAATATAAAGACTGTGTTTGTGCAAAGCCCCAGACGATGTCAGTTGGTCTGCCTGCGTGGAATCACTTGCAAGATCGACACTTGATCTTTTAAATATGTCCAATCCTTTGCAGCAGCCATTCATATGGCATTTCTTCCCAAAAAGATATTGTGACACCAAAAGAATCTGTCCTCACATTTCAATTTGGCCTATTAAAATGTTAGGGAATTATTTGGGAAAAATGTGTCCAAAGCATTTTTTAAAAATCCAATATTTTAGCCATTATTTGAGTTTCTGATAATATTTTACTTATTATTATTGTTGTCACTGTTACTACTACTACCTAATAATAACAGGAAACTGAAAATACATCTTGATGAGTAACTGCAACACCAAGAGGCTCTCACTCTCCAGCAAATAAAAGCTGGTGTTGCTTTACCAAAGTGAGTTTTGCAGCACCAGTTCACCATTTTGCATAGTGTTTGGAAATATGTGGCAGGACTTTTTACTTATTTTTGGGCAGAAAAGTACATTTTTCAACAAGCTATTTCAGTAGCACTTGCCACATTTTGCAATAGATTTTGCATGATGTCCGGGAAAGTATTAAACAGTTTTCTACAATAAATGCAGTTCTGACAAACTGATCATAGAATCATAGAATGGCCTAGGCTGGAAGGGACCTTAGAGATCATTTAATCCAACCTCCCTGTCGTGGGCAGGGACGCCTCTCAACTAGATCAGGAAACACATGGGGACCGAACAGGAATCGAACCCGCGACCTTGGTGTTACCAGCACCACACTCTAACCAACTGAGCTAACCGGCTCCAATTTGTTGAAGATGTTTCTATCTACTCTGTACTAGTTACTGCTTTTTTTTTCAGAGTATTTGATATGTTCTAGGGTGCTGGTAATTAAGAGATGCTGCTATCTAAGGAGAAATGTGGGGGGGATTATACTTGCCAGGATATATTACATATTTTCACTGCTCATTTTCTAGCTTGCAATACTACAAAACAGTAAAAGTCATTTATTTTGGAGAGGTGACAAGGATGAAGAGAAAAACAAGACAGATGCAACTAATATTTGGTGTAGCATAAAAAAGACCATACAGTTTGCTTTTGCTAAAAAGACTGAAATTACTCCATCTCCATGTACTTGGCCAAATAATCCCCTTCAGTTTACACATGGCAGTAAGTATATGCCAAACCCCCCCCTTAGGGAAGAGGAAGAAATCCCCTCACCCATTTCTCCTGTTACAGTTGCTTTGGGGAGGAAAAAAATCAAACTTGGCTAAAGGTTAATAATAATTCATGTCCAGCTTACTATTACTCAATAACTATCAAAGTCTCTAGCTCAAAATAGCGTTTGCTGGCTTACAGGATCAGAGCCATTACAATCTCTATTGAAGACTTTATTGAATTTTACACTAAGCTTTAGATGACTGAACAGGTCAAGCACTGTGGCTCTGAGTTTTCTTTATTCTCGGAAACTCATAAACCCCTCTCCAGTTTGCAGTGCTGCTAGCTAAGAAACTTGACTCAGTAGAGGGTCAGAGAACCCGACCCCCAGGAAAAAAGGTCACGTAGTTTTAAAATCCAGTTCCTGAATACCATTAACTTACATGCACTAGCTGTTCCTGCGTGTCAAACTCCCGGGAACAGCCTTCCCAGTGGCAGTTTGTCTCATAGACCACTTCAGGCTCCTGTTTGCTTTCATCTTTGTCCCCTTCCTCTTTCACCAGGGTCATTCCTTCTGGCTGTTCCTAGAGAGAGGAAAAAAAACAGGGGTGAGGAGAGGAGAGAGGAAATTCTGAAACTGCGGATGAAGAAAAGTGAATTACTTCAGCATTAAAAGAAAGATGATGGCAGTGTGAGGGAGGATTATTTTACACTCAGTTCACGGTGTTACTCCGTTCTACAAAAGAGGGAAGCCCTAAACAGCGCTGGTAAGTCAGAAGCCATTTTCATTCTATACATGTAAAATACTTTTCCTTCCCAGAAGTACTCAGCGCAGAGCATTTCTAAAAAACCATCTCTTTACATTTCAGTTAAAAACAAATCATAACGGCTTGGCTTCTCTCTCCCTACATTTAAGCAGCTTTAATTTGTACACTTGCCCCTTATTATTCAGTGGCAACACTAGTGAAAAAGGCACTTATTCAGTATAGTTGAATTAACTGAACTTTGACTTCAGTACTAGGATTAGACACAAATGGGATAATCTGTAATCCAAAGTGTATTTTCATTGTTAATCCACTGATAGTTTTCCATACTAAAACCTTTCCAAGAGCAGACTCGTGATTTTCAGGCTACTTCTTAGTCTCTTCTTGCCCATAACACGTGCACGAAAGAAGCAAGCAGGGGAAGAGCGTATTTAATTTTGGATTTTGACTTTCCACCTTGAGTTCCTCGATGTGCCTCATTCTCCCTACTTGTTATTGGCTAAGGGTAAAAGTCTGATGTTTGCATAAACATTTGGTTCAGATTATGCACTCATGCTGTTTTTCAATTTCAAAGCTGCTGAAGGATTTAGACCACTGCTTTCTTTTCATGGATTCACTCATGAGATTGAGGCTCTGATTCTCATCTCTCCCCAGCCACTGTAAATCAGGAGTTGCTCTACAAAAAACAGTGGCATTAACTTGTATAGAAAGTATAGCAAATGAGACTGGAGTCCAACATTGAGGCCTCAATGCAGTGAAACGCATCCCTCCATATAGACCTGTATGTCCCTTGTTCACATTTCCATGGTGACTAGAGAACTGAGCACTCTGATTGATTAGAGGCGCCTCTCCATCAGCCTCTCTGCCCTCTTCTGCCCTGCACCCTGGCAGCCCAACCATTAATCTAGAAATGCCAAGTTCACCACTAAACCATGTCCCCAAGCACAACACATCTACACGTCTTTTAAATACTTCCAGGGATGGTGACTTAACCATATCCCTGGGCAGTCTGTTCCAAAGTGTGACAACCCTTTCCATGAAGAAACTTCTCCTAATATCCATTTTAACCCCGCCCTGGTGCAACTTGAAGCCAATTCCTTGTGTCCTGTCACTTCTTATATGGCAGAAGAGACAGACGCTCACCTCACTTTCAGGTAGTTGTAGGGAATGATAAGGTCTCCCCTCAGCCTCCTTTTCTCCAGGCTCAACAACCCCAGCTCCCTCAGCCGCTCTTCATAAGACACGTGCTCTAGACCCTTCACCAGCTTCCTTGCCCTTCTTTGAAAACACTCTAGCATCTCAATGTCCTTTTTGTAGCGAGGGGCCCAAAACCAAACAAAGGATTTGAGGTGTGGCCTCACCAGTGCCAAGTACAGAGGCACAATCACTTCCCTAGATCTGCTGGCCACACTATTCCCAATACAGGCCAGGATCCTGTTGGCCCTCTTGGCCACCTGGGCACACTGCTGGCTCATGTTCAGCCACTGTCAACCAACACTCCCAGGCCCTTTTCTACCTGGCTGCTTTCCAGTCATTCCTCCCCAAGTCTGTTAGTGTTGCATGGGGCTGTTGTGACCCAAGCACAGAACCTGGCATTTGGCCTTGTTAAACCTCATAAAATTGACCTCAGCCCATTGATCCAACCTACCCAGACTGCTCTGAACAGCCTTCCTACCTTTGAGAAGACCAACACTCCTGCTCATTTTGGTGTCATCAGCAAACTTACTGGGGGTGGACTCAATACCCTTGTCCAGATCATTGATAAAGATGTTAAACACAACTGGCTCCAATCCTAAACCCTGGGCAACACCACTTGTGACTGGCCTCTCCCTGCTCACTTCTAACCCTTTTACCACGAGCTGATGCTGCCCATGTTTGCACCAGACGAAGGGCCATACGAGTGCAGAAAGGCTAAAAACACGTGCTACAGGCAAGGTGCATCTTTACTCCAACACCAAGATCAAAGGCTCACGAGCGTAATATGACCGCCATACCTGCACACTTCCTGCTCCTGGGCTGGGGAGGTCCTCGTCGGGCTTTATCTTGGAGCGCTTGTTGTGCATGGGGTCCCCAGTGCTGCTCACTGCAGATTCGCTTGTAGGTTTACTCTGCTGCAGGCAGGTTGTTGATTTTTTTTTTCCCCCAGAAGACAAAATTAGACTGCGATAAATACGTAGCTCCAAACAAAAATATGCAGCATCTGCTCAGCATCTTTATCTGGAGCAGCTACACTGTTAATTATATTGGATATGCAACGACATTGTGCTTCAATTACATAGCATTAACCTGTGGAAGAGCTGCATCACTCAACATTGTAATGGAGCAAGGAGGGAACAGGAAGGAAGGCATTTGACGTAATTCCTTGCTACAAACCAATACTGCTTTTTTCAGGCCAGGGATGCGTAGGAAGAACTTGATTTTCCACATGATGACTTCAGAAAGGCAATTTTGAAAAGCAAAATTGCTCATTCAAATAAACACAAGAGGAAGATTCATTTTATCACACTTGGAAGAAAGGTCTTGCACTTAACATCCACACACAAAAACCCCACCTCTTTTACAGCACTTCCCATGGTTAATAGGTTGAGAACAGAACACTAATGTGAGACTCCACCAAAAAATCCTAGATGAAGTCCTCTATTCTCCCAAACCGAAAGCAAAACTACTGCGGACATAAACAGGCCATAATCTTGTTTTTCTCTTGCTGTGCAATACTGAACATCATTATCTACACCTGCAAATGGATCTTGGAGGAATCCAGAAATCTTTTAGAGATATCTGAACTTGCATGGATCTCACAGAAAATCAATATCCTTCCTACAGCAGCATATTCTGCTTCTACATTTGTAAAAGCTAGCCAGGAGATGAATAGCTCCCAGATTGATAAATAACCTATCCCAGGTCATCTGGAAATGAACAGCACTAGTTAATAACAGGCAAACCACAGATTGTGATAACCTCCACATTATGGGCCTGATTCACTGCTGGATATCCACCCCTTTTGAGAATACACCTTGGTTATTGAAATGATTAATTCAAACTCAGTAAGTCCAATTTTACACAAATCAGAAAAAAACTTCAAACCTCTGCACTGAGTTCCTCCGTTGAGTTACTTCAAGTTACTCACACCTGTATCAGGAGGGCAGAATACAACTCTGTGTATCGTAAAGTCAGCCAGATTTGGAGGTGAAACTGCCAAAATGTTTAGTGTTTTGATGCGGTTTTCCTCTTTTTCTTATTCCCTACCTCTGTTATGTTCCTGTGTAAGATCCAGGAGAGACAGTTTGGGACAAGAAGCTGCTGCAGGACACCGAAATATTTACAAGGACTAAAAAACATGCTACCAATCAGGAACCATGCATACACTTGTGTGATTTATAATAAAGTGACTGCAAATGCTATAGCTGCAAGAAAACTGTTATCGAAGGGTCTCAGTGGCAGTGGTGATTAATTCCCATCGAGACAATGTAATTTGTTTTATTTACTTCATTTTAAAATTAACAGGGCGCAAAGGCTTCTTTTGTTGTCTCTCACCTGTGTGGACTCAGAAGGTCCAGAGCTGACCTGGACAGGGTTCAGGACACTGGGGATGCCAGGGATAGGTCTCTGGGTAGGAAACGTTGGAGCAGGATGGATGAGTGGAGGGCTGTGTCCAAAAGCTGAACCTAGGGTTTGCTGACGACTTATAATTTGCTGATGCATTTGCTGGAGGGATACCGGTGTAGGAGGGTATGTGAAACTCAGAGCAGGGCTGAATTGGGAAAAAAAGGAGGGGAAGAGGAAGAAAAAGATGAGGGTCATTACAGCACGGAACGATACAGATTAAGCCTTTAAAATATATTTGACATATTTACATTGACTGAAGTCAGGTCGCTCCCTCTCTCCCCCTCATACCTTTCTTCGTGCTTCAAAGGATGATAAAACCTGGTTTTAAATCCAGAGTCGTTCTGGATTTACTAGTGAGTGCAAAATGATACCATAACAAAACATAACATTTTTTCCTAACATTTACCAGGAAACCACAGAAAGCCAACTGAAATAAAATTCAGAAAAACTGAAATAAAAGGCAAGCAGTTCAATAACAGCTATTTATTGCAATAACAAACTTTATATAAAGAAAAAGAATGGGTGCCTACACGCTTTACAGTACTTTTATTGATAATGCAGTTCCCCTGTGTTCGCGTGTATGAAGCAGTTCCTTTAATCTTGGCTCATGCTACACTCTT